AGGAAAGATTCCCTGTTTCGCAAAAGAAATTTTGAATTAGCTAATTCCATCTGTGTGAGATATAAAATGCACTGTGGATTAAACTGCCATGGCATTTCGCAGAACCATTCCCATGCAAGTGTGTTCCGTAATTTATCTGAATTTATACTGACAAAGACTTGCAGATGCTTAATATAGTTCGACAGCCTACGACCAACTTCACCCCACTAGGGACTGTTCAACAAGGCAGATTCCCCAAGGTTCCGCTAGTGTTTTTTCAGCTTGAGCCGAAATTGGATGCAGTTAATGAACTGCACTTATTTCATCACTACTTTCAGTTACCGGGGACTAAACTTTATTCCAGGTGAGCATCTGGGTTATGCTGTTCGTCACTTAAATGTGGTACAAAATTGGGCTCCTAATGATTCGATTGGATCCATAGTCTAGAAGTCGTAGTGGGTTCTGTAGACGAAACACCCTATTCGGTCACACATCATAAGTTTCGGTTAAAGAATATCATAAAGGAGAAATTTTTCTGTTCAAAACCAAATGAAGTTGCAACTGATTGTATTTCGCAAAAATCAAAGCCCTCAACGAACAGGTTCTTGATATAGTAAAAGCAGGATAATTGTCAAATTTTAGACAGAAATAAGCAACTCATTCATAGAAATACCGGTTGTTTGCTTCCGTGGTAATGTATTGTATGCGTTTATTGTGCATGAATAATGCACCGTTCCCTTTTTGCTGTTGGGACATTGTTCAAATTTTGATAAGATTGGGCAGATTCACGAAAAAATAAGTGCCTACTGCCCTATATTTGAAAGGCAAGCAAAAATGTGTGAATCTTTTACAGGCATGCATACTCAACTTTGAGCTTCACTCAACATATTTCCTAACTATAACTCTAATATCCTTCATTGGAGTATGCTCACAACCACACTTGATTAAGTGGGTATTGCAAGGAATTACTCTCGTCATTACAAACTGTCGTGCTCACCATCGGGAATATTTTAGCAGCGAGCTTGACGAACTCTAGGATCGTGACTATTGACCTGAGTCACGAACTATAAATGAAAAAATGGTGTTCTTGGAATGTAGTCAAACTTGCACCTTCTCACTAGTTAAGCAAATCGTCCACAGAGTAAGCCAACTCGTGAGTTTATGATGTTGACAAAGATGGAACATTTTCTGCGACTACTGTATATTTCATTTGTGGAGATCTTGAAATCGCAGGTCAGACAATTCGCCCACAGTCACAGTAGCTCTAGCCTCCCAAATGCCCCAGGAGTAGCTGCATAACCAGTAGCCAAAAGTAAGGACATCTTTCAGGAATATACCGTCTCTCTTGTGAGGCTTCCCCAAATGGGTGTGATAATCTGCTGAGAAGGAATGTTTTGAAGTCTTATACCTGGGATTTTAGCCAATCAATGATGAGCTGTTAGTTTATGACTGTGCAATATTTCGGACATCTCTTGACTAAATCTACGGCATAAAACACTCCAAATATCGCTCGTTTTGAGGAAAATCGTGAAATAGCCAAAGTTGCCCTGCTGGCCCTTGTATTTCACTGTGCTACGTGAAGATGGTATGTCACATCTCGTTGAACTTCCTTGGTGAAAATCATAGCAGGTTGTTGGGTGCAAAGGCATATACCGTCACGGGAAAATCAGCAAGGTACCGATGTTCCGGCTAAACTTTTATAGCCCTAAAATTATTTTCTTGTATAGATTCTAGGGGGTGAGAATTTCGAATAGTACGAATTTCTTAACTCTAAATAGATTATTACAAAAGTGGTGCACATAATAAAAGAAATTGATAAAGCGCAACCTAAACTAACCAAATAAAAGTCCAGCCTATTCCGTCGGTCCTGAACGACTAAATTTTATAGACTTTAAGGGAGAGATGCGCTGGAAATGTCTGCGAATGAAGTTAATCATCACGAGAGAGATGTGCGGCTGAGTTACCTTTAATCGTGTTGTTTCATCGAGCTTATTGTAGCAGTCATTATCCATTTCACCTTTGACCCAAACATCATGAAAACTGGGGCTCAAAACCTCTGTTAGTAGAGGGTTCGGTCTAATGCCGATCTTGCAAGTGAACAATAGATGAGCGAACATAGAACTTGCATTATTGGTTGTTTCGCGGTTAGGCTGGCTGCCAAAATTCTCAGTTTAGATCTACATCCTTACTACATTTCTAGAAGCAACAAATTGCTTATTTGCTACGCTCATTTCAAACGCTTCCGTTAGGATTTTAGGTATTTCTATCATTTGAGAGAGTGATCCTTGGAGATGAACTTACACAGCAACGTGATAGATCATAGAATTCCATGTTTTTGGTCTCTCCAAAAAATTATACAGCTTCGCCTGTAATCTCCTATAGCGCACATCTGTTCGACATTGTCGCACAGGCAGGGGTTTTCCGTGCAACGAAGTACGACGGACATCCACCGTACGGGCAATAAATGCAGATGATGTGCTCGATGAAGTAGTTTGTATTGGAACTGGAAAAAAGTGTTCATCTTGTTCCACATTGTCCGCAATGCGCACAGTATTATGCGATTTGGCATCGCGCTGTACAACAAGTAAATCCATTACCTGAATGTCGAAAGGCCACTTGAAATCATGCACAGTTGCGTCATTTTTACAAATGTTCAAATTGTTCACTTAGTGCAAATCCATCGAGAAGAGAAAGGGACTCATATTTAACAAAGTGGTGGGTAACTCCTCCACCGGATCATTCACACTCTGCACGTATAACATGAATCTTTTGCAAACAAACGTTTGCAAGTGCCATTGGCCAATCAGTGCTCCATTTATTTGCATGCCGACCGCATTGGTTGTTGGGCAAGTTGAAACGCTGGGCAGTTTCACCTTGGTCGTCATGTAGAGGGTAACATTCGGATGTTCAGTTGGAGTGAATCTGCTTGTGAACAATATTCATCTGCCAAGGAAATCGGTATTAAAATTGCAATTCTTGTTCTAGTTTTTCTATGTAGAATTGCAAGCAATCATCATGCTTGTTGAATTTAGGCTCCGGGTCGTGGAAATATTGTGGATACGGAAAAAGCAACTAACCGGAAGTGGCATTCACAAGCACAACCTCAACATAACACTCTTCCTAGTCAGCTATTCATGGTTTTCGGGACATTTTGGGCAACGATCAAATACTATTAGGTTTGCGAAAAATCCCAAAAATAATTCTCCCTCGTAAGTAAACTAGAAGCGCATGTGATTAAATGAAACTTTTCTTTAACCTGTCTCGATAAAATTGGCGAAAAATGTAAATAGTGCTACATTTTAGCGAATATACACTCATTTACAAACTAATTTGGTTCTTTTGAGAAACTCACCTGGAACCCAGCTGAATCACTCTTTTATGGTGTTCTCAGGCAACTGAATGTGCTACACCAGGCCGCCTCATGTTTCAGTCGCTACGGTATTTTAAATATCGCGATACTTTTATATCTTTGTATAATATATATCTTTGTGTATCTCATAAGGTTGCTGAAAATCCGTCGACAGCCTACGACCGGTTTCGCCCCTTCAGTTGCCTGAGAACATCATAAACGAGAGATTCAGCTGGGTTCCAGGTGAATCTCTTAAAAGAACCAAATTAGTTTGCAAACGAGTGTATATTCGCTGATTTCGAGGAATTTGGTTTCAAGTAGAACAAAAGGCTGACGGAAACCCGGAGGCTGCGCCTATCTGATGAGCCCCAAGAAGGGCGAAACCGGTCGTGAGCTGTCGATGGATTTTCAGCAACCTGTAGTATAGTACATTACAAAGTGTTACACGTTCTTCCCGACACAGCGTGTTGTGGGCCGAATTGGTTTGTTTCACACACCGGACTGTCTTGAACTTACCTTATGAGTAGTACATTACAAAGTGTTACACGTTCTTCCCGACACAGCGTGTTGTGGGCCGAATTGGTTTGTTTCACACACCGGACTGGCAAGTCTTGAACTTGGCAATGTAAAGTGTACACAATCGATAAAATACCATCACTCACTGCTCAGTTTAGTCGGTTATCTGAATATTTTCTGTAGAAACGGTTCGAGCATACAACGCCAGACAGCCAGTGCCGTGGACAGTTTGGTTCTTTGGTTTATTCGACTCAGCCATGAAAAACTGAATCATCTCTAATCAACACAAACTGTTATCACATTTCAAAACATTCACATCATCAACATCATCACATCAAAAAATTCACATCAAATTAATCAAGACCCCAAATATTTGTTATACCGGTCCTTGAACGTAACGGACGGCTTTTGAGAGAATCAAGCAGGAAGCAGGTGCTATCCAAAACAAGAACCTTAATCGGAATTTTATAGGCAACCGCACAGTACAGTACAGTGCAGAATCTAAGAAGCACCAAAGATCATTTGCATGGTTCACTGGTTTCTGAACCTCCCAAAACTAGGGAGAATTAAGTGATGACGGAAAATCGGTTATTCTCACAAATCATTGCACATGAATGCAGTGTAACTACAACATATTTGGCGTAGTCTGAGGTGAGCACTCCGGACACGTGTGTGCGTGTTAGGTAATCATGTGTTATTCCACTGGTTTAGGCGGCTACTGTCCAGCTTAATGGAAATTTATCACCCGTGTAACGCGAATAATGCTGCTAATATAAAAAAAACTAATAAGCAACTATGTTTTAGACCACTGGATGTAAGCTCGATAAACGATCACGTGGTATGCACTTTACCTTGATGCATGATATACTGTTGCAATCGTGTAGTTCCACCAAGGAACTAGCAGTATACTATGCAGTACAAGACAGTAAGCACCTGAGTTGTTTTACCACTAGCCCCAAATATGCTGAAGAATCGGGAGTAAAGGGAATTGAATCAACTCAAAGTAGGGTACCTCTAAGACGTTGTATAAGATCGCGTACTAAATACTGATCAATGATTGAACTGTGATATTTTGTAGATTAGTTCCTCTCGCGTTTTAAACTTGTACACTTAGTTTGAAGGTTGGGGAACGTGGAATCCGGCACCAGAATGAACACAATATGAAGTGATGTTTGAAATGACCAGTAACTTTCCTAAGAGGAGCTGTTTCATTTAGGCATGGGAAAATTATGTCCAATGAGCCGTTTACGAAAACAACGCTAATTCATTGCTCTGTGATTTGAGACTCCAATGGAGCTGTCGTCCTGTGATCCATACCTGATCTATAGTTGAGAGCCTAACAGAAGTGTACAACCGTTTCAACTTTACTGGAAGTGACCGGCAGTATGCGTCCCATGAAACTCCATAGGGTTTTGATCACAGCTAGTTGGTTAAACATTTAACTCTGCATCCGAGGCGGCTGATCAGCAGCTCGATTGACTAGCATTTAGACGAGATAAATCGCCACCCATTATTTAATCATGAGATCAACATCATGCCTTCACACGTTGAGTTGCTCCTTGGACAACAAATTCTCAGATGAAAGCTTCAGTTGTCGTGTTAAATTTTCTTTCGCTGAACAGCCTGAATGTGAGTATATGAATACACTTTGTTCTCCAATAACCTTAGTTTCTATTGAACGAGATTTAGCCTATTTGTAGGAGAAGCTTGATGTCACGCCAGCTTACCTGTTAATAGGCACAGAACAAACTAGACTGGAGCACGAAAACTTAAAGCGTAACGGTGAACACAAGTGGGTTATGCGGCCCTAGTAAACGGAATCTGTAACAAGTCAGAAGTTTGGAAATGCTGTAGAACATAATAAGATCGGGTGCGCCGCTTGGTTGTTGGTCTGTTGTCTGGCAGTTGAATTGCAAACGTTTCATCACCATTCGAGGTGACATCGTCATCGTCACCCACCCAAACTTGTGCTAGCCTGTTCTGTCAAGCTCAGTGAACAGACCAACAAATAGTCAGAAGTTTGTCACAACAGACTTGTTGTGTTGTTGAACCTTTAGTGTGATTATTGAAAAGGTGCGATTGGACAAGTTCAGTGTATAAATTTCTTGAGGTTTCCCTGAAGCGTATTCAACCAGTGGGTGAATAGTATTGATTGTACAGCGTAGAAAAATACTGTGGTAGCCATCATCGGAGCGCAGTGAGAGTGGTATTTGCATAGTAATTTTGACCCACTGAGATCCTGTATATTTTCAAACAAATAAGTTAACAAAGTGAACCCTCAAATCAAACAGTTAAATGAAATTTTCATCATATTTATGTCGAGACATCCCAAACAAAAGACAACACTGAAAAACGTGCCTTTTGACCAGTCCGTGTCGTTTACGTATTCAGCGGGTGGTTTCACACTCCTATTGTTGTTGTCGACAGTTTCCCACCTGATATTCTCAGGAGGAGGGTTTAATCTGATCTTTCTTCACAGGGTCTGAAGATAGCACCATGCCTGTTTATTCTGGACTCATACAAAAACGTGTGTGATGGTAGTTTTGTCCTACTGCGATGGAAAATGCGATAAACGCTAGTGTTTTTGTTGCGAAAACAACTCTCAGTGAACAAAGTGACTGTGCTCAAAACGAAGTCTGAAAGATAAGATAAGCATTTGACTAACGTGTGTCGCAAATCTCAGTGGACAATTGAAAACTGCATGCTGCAGTTGCCTCGTTACCCAATGAATAAATGAATGCTGGTCCAAAAACGAAGTATTTAGGGGAATATGTAGAGTGCTTCTATTCCCAACTTGTGTAAACTGTACATCCCGTTTGTGTTTCGCAGTTTTACACTTATCCGGAACCGCTGACAAAGTAGATAATGGTCTAGCATTTTGGATCTTCTGACAGGACCCTAGAAAGTTGTCACGGTCTGTGACAAACCGAGCGTCATCTGAAGCTGTTGCAATCACATTAAGCTTGAACGTCTCACAACCTAACATTCAAAATAAGCTTTGAAACTTAAAGTTGTGCCGGTGCTGCAACTCAGTGTTTCTCTTTTCAGAAACTGAAGCTTTGATCGTCTAATCCTCGACCATGGGAAGAGCCCTACAAATGTATCGCATAAAACGTGATGTATAACATGGGCATTTATACTCAGAAAACAAGCCTCACTCTCTAAGCTCCGTTCCCTAACATCCCCTGCTGAAATACAGGCGATGGAAATGGATGGCCATTTCTCGGCATTTGTAATTTGCACCTGATCGGTTACACTCAAAAGTCATTCATGTTAGCTGAAAACGGTAAACAGCTTAGGTCTCAGTGAATGCTTTGGGCAGAGATGACTCAGTTGGATACTCAGTTTAGCCACACATGATAAAGTTGAGTAGAACCGTTTCGGTTGCCCTTTTATCGTATCGCCCATTCTGCTTTCCAGTTTGTAAAATTGTGCCCAAATCGTCTGTGCTGAGATATTAATTGAGCTTTGAGTTGACAACTCGTAGCAATAAAAAAATATGCTCCAGCTAAACTTCCGACGTTCGGCTAGCGAAATAATATGGTGGAATGCCGTTCACTTTGAACGGCAGAAAATTTGAATGCATGCTCTCTCGCTTAACGGCATTCCCATATTTTTCCGGAGCCCCACAAAAAGTCCACTTCACATTTTCATTGGTCTATAATTGATAAGCACACAAAATTAACTGAGTGATGTAGTTCTGCATTTTACTTTTATTCAACTCTTTGA